AATAAAAAAATAAAAAAATTCTCAGAAGTCTTCAAAAGTACAAGAAATGCTAAGCCTTCATTTGTAAAACTTGTTGTGACAATATTTAGATTATTTAAGGTGTGTTCAATTATATGCAAGCTTCCATTTTTAGGATTTTTTTGGATTAACCTCCAAGGATTAGTGATTATTTAAAGCTAAGGAACTAAAAATGAAGCTCGTACACAAAACCAACAGAAGGTTAAGTGTGTTTCACCTCCACCTGCCCTTTGCTGGCCCTGATGCTCAGAAGGCAGTGGACAGTCAGAAGCACCATCGCCAGCTGCTTGGACCATCTTGGATGAACTCAGCACTCATTGCTGGCTTGAAGGGGGCCGCCCATCCTCCAGGTTGCTCTATCAAGCATTAACTGAAGCAGCTGCTTTCTTCTGTGGATGATAAAGTGTCGATATTCATGCCCATACATGAAATGTATTAGGGTGGCTTCATCCACTAAATTCTAACAGGGGGTGTGGAGGCAGCTTTCTGGACACAAAGTGAATGGCTTTGAGAGAGCTGATCTTGTCAAGGTCGGAAGGCTGTGTCATTCAGAACACTTCCCCTCTATGATCATTTCCTTTCTCGAACTGCCCGACCTTATCAAATGGAATGTATGCATTTTAAGATCTTGGGGAATGGCTGCTAAGTGGAGAAGGGATGGTGATAGAGTCATACTGAATTTATCATACTGAGCAGAGTTCCAAACCTTTTAGGAAGAAAAGTCAAATCAGATGTTCTTTCTTGAGGAAGATGTTTATGTTTTAGACTTGTGCCTCTGCTTGGGGAATGGGGCATAAACAACCCCAGTTGTAATTAGAATTCAAAACTTCCCATGCCCCCAAGAAGCCTCCTTAATTCCTGTGTAAATCAATTAATAAAAAGGAATACCAGGAATATAATATGCTGCCCACCTCTACCTAAGTAGAGGCGGAATATAGTGGATAAGAGTGAGCTGTGGCATCGAACTTTCTGAGTTCATATGCCAGTGATTAGCTATGAACCTGGGGCTAATTATTTAAACTCTCTGTGCCTCAGTTTCCTCATCTGTAAAATAAGGATCTCAATAACAGTCCCTACCTCACTGAAAGTTTAAAAGAATACCTGGTCCAATAGTACATGTTCCATATATTAACATCCACCCCCTCCCATACTGAATACAGTTAAAAGGATTTGAAGTTTTGAAGAGACCAAGTGGCTTATCTATATAGCCACATCAGTGTGGAAGCAGCACAGATAAGATGTTCCTTAGCCAGCCGATATTGAATATTTATTGAATGTTACTGTATGCCGGGGTTTGTCCTAGCTGCTGGAAATAGATCATGAAGACAAATAGGAGCTTGCTGGGACAAGCAGTACACAGCTCCTCTGCTGAACCCCAGTCCAGAGGGGTTTTCCCACGACATCAGTGGTTGTCAAACTTTTTTTTTTCAAGCCAGATAACTATTTCAGTGAAATTTGAGGCAATATATATAACAGATGAAAATGAAACTCCGCCTGTAGAAGGGGTGGGCTCAGCCTTTCTCCCACCTGGACAGCAGCCCTGAAGGCATCTCGGAGAAGCTGGTTGAAACACTCTGCCCTCTGTCACACCATAACAGTTCATGGTAAAACCTGGTTTGATGGCTTCTGGACTGTAGACATAGTTAAATTCCAAAAGATGATACAACTATATATCAGAAGGTTAGGCAAGATATCATTCATATGGATAGCATTTAATTTTAACTAATTTATGGAAATTTGAGTCACCACCATTGAAAATGTGAGATAATTTCTGTAGCCACAGACATGAGGTCATTTTCAACTATCATTAAACAATTGCCCATTTCTTGACCACCTACAATGTTTAGGTAAAATTGTTTCTATTCTGACCCTGTCTCCCAAAAATATTTTGTTGGTTTTCATTTTCTCAAAGGTTCACAATTTCCCCCTACGTTTAAAAAAAAAATTAACGCAGTCTACTCAGTCCAAAAGCAAAACAAAATATCTTTTTTTAGTGTTTTTGGTGACTATATAGTATGAGTTACTCTGTATATTACTCAAGAATCTATTGTCATGTCAATGTATTATATCACTTTATTTCTCACTGGATATGTAGTCTGGGGCTTGTCACAGATCCTCTAATCATACATGTCATATCTAAATTTAAAAATGGAACCTCAAACTTATGTTCTTGACTGATGGTATCCAAGTAGGGTTAAGACATGGCAGCTTGGTGAGACTTGATCATTAAGGGCAAGTCCTCCCCAGCTCTGACTTTCCAAGGCAGGGCTCGAGGCCTCTCATACGTAACTGCCAGCATTTATTCAGCACATAATGTGTTTCGATCCTGGTGTTTTGACAGAGAGCATCACATTTAACCCAGGTAACATCACTGTGAAGGTATTTTCTTTATGCGAGGAAATAAGTTTTGGAAAGGTTAAATAACTCACTCGAAGCCTGGATTCAAATCCAGGTTATCCTGCTTCAAGTATTTGTACTTGTCCACACTAGGCATACTTTCATGTCCTCTAACATCTGGGATTCCAGGACGTCCGGGGCAGTTTGTCTCTATACCTTCCAAAGCCTCATTTGGAATCATCTGACAGTAGCTCTAACATTATATATTTGTAAGAGACAACTTCTTGCTGAAGTTAGAGGGACTATTGGCATATGGTTTAATTATTGAAAAACAGGTAATAATTTAAATAAACCTTTTTGGATTGTACTAAACAGTATTCAATATCAATTCTGTTCTCACCAGTTTTTGCTGTCATATATTCTCTATTTTTAGAAATAGCATTAGCAAGGAGTTCAGTATATTTTACGTTGTATGTATGAAGTTTCATAATAGAAATTTGTTCCTTGACGTTGTTGCTTTACTATATATTATGTTGGTGGAGAGATGAAAACATGTTTCTTGTGTTTGTATTTCTCTAGGCATGTTCCTTCCTGGTATGTATTTCAACTTCGCAAATAGTTAAATTATTATAATTAGATATGTTATATCAATTAGAAATGGTAAGACCATAACTAAAAAAAATCTAAATGAACCAGTTGTAATTGCTAACAATTCATGATCCAACCAGTTATAATAAAATAAAGCTACATTCTTCTGTTGACAGGAGTGCAAGTAACAGGAAATCCTGGATCAGATGCAGCTGTTGTTAATAATTTTGTATTTGGCTGACAAAAGTAAACTTGTTTCTAAATTTTTGTTGCACATTTTGTTCCTGAGCTTTAAAAGATGTATGATCCTCTCTGCTCATTACTCCTGCTGAGTGTTGGTCCTCATTTAGTTTCATAAATCTGGAAACCTTTTTCTGTTGCATTTATCAAAGCATTTTTAATTGACGAAGAATAGGTCAGTTCTACGTGCAATTTAAAGTGGATGCACCTGGTTGGATTGTGGATCGTTGTACTTCATTTGTTGGTGATGTGTGATTATGCATGAGTTTAATTTCAAGCTATGATGATTGATAATTATAAAACTGGGAATAAACACATGCTGGCTGCGACTGTAAACTTGTGCACTGTACCAGAACGAAAAGGTAAAATTCTGAAGTTGTCATTTATCTTTAGTATTATTTTCATCATTGTTGTTTTTCTTTGAAAAAGACTGCTGCGCAAAAAAAAAGCATTTTAGTTTTTGTCTAGAAACTGTCCCAAGTAAATGATAAGTGGATCTACAAGGTTAAAACAGCAGACTTGAAAATTATTTAAAGCAAAAACAAAATTATTTAACTAAACATGAAGTTAAGTGTTGGACTAACCATGGCTAAAAAAACAAAACAAAACAAACCTATGATTCTCTTTTCCAAAGTGAGATACACTGCAGTAAAAGAATCTGGGTGGTTTCCACCAGAGCTGAAGAACATGATGGAAAAAGGCTGAAAGCCCGAGCCAATGTTTATAAAGCTTTGGAGGATATTTCATCCCAAGGTTAAACTGTAGGATAAGTTCATGTACTAGAAAGGTTGATTAAGATGGAAGGGAAACCGCAGCATATCTGCTTATACCTGAGTGGAGCTGGAGCTACAGGTGTGTGCGATCAGTTGCTGTTGTTACTCTGCAACACCCCCCAGATTAGCTGTCTTGACAGCCTTCAGGGAATGCTGTTTCTTTAGTTCAGATTTTTTACTCAAGGCCAAGGTGAAGGCAGGTCCCTGGGCTGGAACCTGGTGGACCAAGGAAGGTGCCGGCAACAGGGAGGTGGAGCAGTCTCTGGATTCCACCCCAGAATGACCTATGGACGGCAGCACTGCAGGCAGAGCTGGGCTCCCTCCAGCATCCCGCCCACCTTCTGCTTTGCATTTTGTTTTACTTTATTTCTGTCAAGGCACTCTTTATAAGCAGTGTGGTCAGTAGTCCACAATCCACAGAAAGCATGGTTTCTCATTAGATCATCAGCATCCTTGCAGGTGTTATTCTTTGTTAGCCTCCCTCCCTTTTTATCAACTAGACTATGCGGTGGGTTTAATCATCTTTCATTATAAACCTCTATTGGTATAGTACTTTACAGTATGCCTCCTCCCAGCGCCCCAGGGATATACATATTATTTATGATCCCATTTTCCAAGTGGAGAAACTGAGCGCAGAGAAGGTGAGTGACACAGGAGATCGCTTGGCTTTGAGTTTAGTGCTCTCTGCACAGGGCTTACTTGGACCACTCTTACTGCCTATGAACTTTGAAACAAAGGAGTTATTTGAGTGACAAAATTCATTGCTCTCTGTGCATGGCATCTTCCTTGTGGTTTATAAGGCTCCCAGAGCAAGTGGCAGGATTTTCTGATATACAGGATTTCTTTGTTGTGGGAAGTTGCTGTCTATCCCTGTGACGTTCTTTACGTCCGGGTAACTGCTGGAGAGTATTTAAAATGTGCAAAGTGATGTACCTGTAGATTTTGCTTTCATAGCTATCAGGGGGAGTGTTGTGCCCCAAAGGAACAGAATTTGGATCTCAGATCTTTAACTCTATCCAGTGTTGGATTTTGAAAGTTTGGCTTAAAAGACTTCATTAATCTATGGTACATTTCCTCTAATCCATAAATAACAGCAGTTGTTTCCTGTTTTGAATTCCTGAGTTTGTAATAGGGAAGGACACATCTGACACCATATTGGATCTGTTTATTTTACTTTAACCTTTGTATTCTATGCTTTTGCTACAAGTTAACCACTAAAGGGATGTTGCCTATCAGCTTAAATAATACATAATGGCCCAGCTCTGGGAACCCTGCCTCCCATGTAAAGAGCTTAAGCTAAAATACCTTTGTTTAGCTCACAGGAAGCATCCGGACCAGGACAAGTTAATCACTAAAGGGTCATTGCCTGTAAACTTAAATTATACATAATGGCCCATCTCTGGGAACTGTGCCTCCCAGGTAATGGGCGTTAAGCTAAAATACCTTTGTTGAGCTCACAGGAAACATTCTGACCAGGCCCACCTGTGAGTGACTGCTGGACGAAAGAAATTAACACATCCCTTCCGGAGTCTGACCGGAACCAGGAAATGTTTGACATTACTCCCTCCCCTTTTAGTATAAAAGAAGCCTGAATTCTAACCCAGGGAAGATGGCTCTTAGGGATCCTAGTCCCCTATCTTCTCAGTCGGCTGGCTTTCTGAATAAAGTTGCTAAGCCTTGGTCCAACAACTCACCTCTCGATTTATTGGCCTGCCCTAGAGTGAGCAGTACCAGCGTAGACTTGGTAACAGGTTGAATGTTTCCTTTACTCACCTTCCTTTCATTTCTTTCTGAGTCTTGAACTTGGGAACTCCTCCCACATCTCCCTAGTATTTTTTAGTGTTATGTACTTAACTCTGTGCCCCCATATTCTCCCTGTAAGTACAACTGAAAGCCTGACATGTTGTTAGAATGTTAGGGCACTATTACAAAAGGGGGGAAACAGCTGTGCAATTTCTTTTACATTATCTGGCTTCACTAAGAAATCACGGTCATCCCTCCATATCTGCAGGGAGTGAGGGGGTGAGGGGGGAGGGGACTGGTTCTGGACCCAGTGAAGATACCAAAATCTGTGGATGCTCCAGTCCCACCGTCGGCCCTCCGTATCCATGGGTTCTGCACCTGCAGGTTCAACCAAAGGTAGATCATATATTAAGTTTGTGATCCTTAGGGTGGTTGAATCTGTGGGTGCGGAACCACAGATACAGAGGGCTTTGCCAAACTTTATTTTGTCTAACTGGATTTTTAAAGACGAAGCTCCCTAGTGTGTTACAGTCAGAACCAAACTTTAAAAAGAGAACTCAGACTGGAGACGTCCCTTCGTGATCCTCCAAATCATTTCCTGAAGCCACCAACACAATTTGAAACTCAGCCTGCTTTTCACAGATGCTCCATCTCTGGCTTTGAGAAGCTTCTCAGGGACTTAGACTCCAGAGAAACTGGTGCAGCCAGCACAACCATGTTACAGTTAGGTCTTTTGCAAGGAGTGTTTGGAAGGGACACCGTGCACATTTGAGTCCTCCTTAAAGGGCAGCACAGCTTGTATGTTCTGTTCATGCATTACCTGGCTCTCTCCACAGACGGAGTGATCAACATGAGCATTCCCATTGTTCTGCCTGTCTCTGTGGACGACAAGACACGACTGGAAGGGTGCGGCGAGTTTGTCCTGACATATGAAGGACGGAGGGTGGCTATCTTACAAGACCCTGAATTCTACGAACATAGAAAAGAGGAGCGTTGTTCCTATGTGTGGGGCACAATGTGTGCAAAACACCCCTATATCAAAGTAAGTGGCAAAACCTTTGAAAGGGCTTTCTTTCAACTTGGGATAAAAACAATTCTTTCCAAGTCCTTTGTAAAGGAATTAAAAAAACGGGTTAGATGGAAGAATGCATTTCTAAGGGAGGTTTTGCAAGCTTTTCCTGGGAAGATCTTTTTAGATAAGGCAAAGAAATGACTTTCTGTTTGAGTGCTGGCCTGAATGGTTTCTTGAGTCCTCAGATCCTGTGATGGCTGGCTCCCTCAGCTAAATGGGGAAAAAACTAGACCAGGGAGGTATTATTTAGTCTAGCATCATGAGTAGAGGACCAGAATCATAGCTGTGCTATGCACAAAACCACAGCCAGGGCTTGCAGCCTAGTCCATCCTGAAATTCACAAGGGATGTCAGTTTCTTCATATGGAAAGGATCCAACTAACCCCTGGAAAGAGACTCAGAGTTCATGCTCTGTGGCCTTTGGAAGTGGGGGGTGGTGAGTCAGTGACATTCTTTCAGTAAACAAAAATCAGCACAGATAGTGGCAGTTTGCAGAGGGAAAATACCACATTTTCATCAGTGGATATTTTTAATATTGAAAAATGCATTCATCTAATTAAGGCAAAATAGAATAAAACTCAGATTCCTTCACAACTTCTAATTGTTGCTGGTGATGGGGTGGGACTGGAGGGAGGGGAATTGCTGCGTGTGGTTAATTTCCCATAAGAAAAATACGTGTAATTAAATGCAAAAACCATCCCTCATCCAAGATAAGAGCATTAGGGTTCAAATAATAATAGTAATAATAAAAAAGACATTTACTAATGATTTGACCTGTCAAATTCCTCAGCTGGAGTAACTTTCAGAAAGTTCACAGGACTAGAGAGCAACCTGAGACCCAGGCAACTCTAAAAAGCCTTGTGATCGGACAAGGCACACCCTCTCTCTGGGCTTCAGTTTCTTCATTAATAAAAGGAGGGGGCCGGACTCAGTAACTCCGAGATCTCTTCTATCCCTGTGACCATACGAAATGGAGGTTTGAATAAGTCTGTCCAAATCTGCCAGGCAAACTTAATTTTGTTTTTTTCTTTTTTTTTTATCCCAGTTGTGAAATGTTGCAAGGTAGGGAGGGCTTTTTCAAGACCCCTGGTGGAACATGAGAGGTCAGTGGGTGAGCCAAGCAGCTTTGCATTTATTGGACACAACTGTCCACCCTGTAGATAAGCTCAGAGCCATCTGAACATTTTCTCCCCAAGTGGTTGGCAGACAGTCCTTGAAATTGCTAGACAGTAGCTATTTGAGAAATTGTATTCTGGGCCTTAATTATGTCCTTGTTTCATTCCTTTTCTGATCATAACCCTATACATTTGGGATCTTAATCTGCACTCAGTGACTTAAAAAAGAGTGGCCCTTCATCATGCCAGCTCAGATATTTCCACTCTTTGGGACTAATGTCCACACACACGTGATTAGCACCAAAAGAAAAAAAAATCTAAGGAAGCTCTTAAGCAATTATTTCCTTTTTATCTTGTCTTGCGACATGTGTTGGCAGTTGGAGCTCAGAATTTCTTAGGTGGCAGGGAGAGTGGTGGTGTGACTTGTGGCCTTGACAGTATAGTCAGTGATTAGGTAATTAGGTCATTAGAGGGACTCTAAACATCGCCAGTGAGCTAAAGGTGAGAAATGGGCCATGCATTTCCAGAGACAGAACACCACTCACTCTGTACACACTACACTTGGGAGTGTTGACGCTGTGTTTATGGGAAAGGAACTCATGATACATTTTTATAAGCACCTGGAAATTCACAGTAATACTTAAACATGGTATTTTTTATTTGTTTGTTTGTTTTTAAGACCCCAAACCTTCCAACAGTAATTCCTTCCAAAAGTAATCATGAGCCTTCTTGTATTTTCATGTGGCACTGGAAGTGATACTTGCGTGGAAAATGGTCAGAGCCACCCAGGGAACGGCCCCTCACTGCAGTTCCCCAGCCTTCCATTCAAATCCTCCCAACCCTCTCTGTCTTCTTTCTTCTCCCTGTCATCACTAGTACAGAACCACTGTGACTTGTCACAGATGAAACCATGAGAAGGAGCAGGTGAAACTTGTAAAAATCATACTTAAAGGAGCCCTGTTGCATTTCATCCATGGCTCCCAAAGCTTTTCCAAGCAGTAATTATTTCTCACAACACTCTTGTAAAGCACCTAAGAATCATTATTCCCATTTTACAAATGTAGAAATCAAGAGAACAGTATGACTTCCCAGTGAAGGCTAGGAGAGTTTTTATATCCTTTAGCTCTGCAAAGAAAATCGTCAGATCAACAGAGTCACCTGGGGAGCTGTAAAAAAAATTACCTATGACTGGACCCCTCCCTTACAGATTTTTATGTCATTGGCTTGGGCTCAGTCCTGGGTCTTGTGAGTTTTAAGGCTCTATGATTCTAATGTGCAGTGAAGGTTGAAAACCATGGCATTAGATCCTGATCTGGAGCTGCTGCTTCCGTGGCTCCGCCTGGATATATCCTGCAAGTACCCGGCACTCGGCATGTGCAACTTCACCCCACCCGCTCCCCGTCCTGTGTGCCCTAGCTCCATGAACAGCTAAGCTCCACCATCCAAATGGTGGCCCACGTCCAAAGTCAGACTGTCATTTTGGCTTCTTTCTTCTCCCTTGTTCATTCAATCGCCAGTTCCTAACAATTCCACCTCCTTGGTATTGCTTGAATTTGTTCACATTTCTGTTTCAACTCAGGCCAGGACACTCAAATTTCTTCCCTGTATCTTTCTTTCCCTGCTTCCCTCAAATTCTTTCTCCATTTGTCGGCTAGGGCGAACTGTTCAAGCTTCATTTGGGAACTCGTATGTAAAGATATGACTTCATCTTACCACCTGTTACCACTGCCACCTATGATATTTTCTCCTCCATTCATTCTCAGCTGCTCATTCTATCATTCTCTCTCTTACTTTTTCACAGGCTAGTCCCTCCAACTAGTACACTGTTCCTTCTACTCCTGCCTCCTCACCTTATTTGTTACTCCTTTTCTCTGCAAGAAGTTGGCCCCACTTCCGTGACCCATAAGCCTGACTGGGTGCGTCTTTGTCCTCTCAGAGCACTTTGCTCTTGTCCTGTCCACACCTGTGCCACAATGTTACCCTTTTCCTCTTCTGTCGATCCACTCAGACTGCCAACCTGTGAGATCGAGGACCACATCTCGATCTGTCTTTTTCAGTCATATCCCCAGCAGCAAACCCAGGGCCATGCACACAAGTGCTGACTGGATGGAGGGTGAATGGACGATCCCCCTGAAGACAATGCTGAGCTGTCAGCGTGCAGGCCACTGACGAGAGGCAGTGGGTGCAGATGGGAAGGTGAGCCTGTTTGGAGGACTCCTAGATTTGGGTCCTGGCTTCGTTAAAGCAGCTATTTGCACTTGAGCCCTGCCACTTCCCCTCTGTGAAACTGTCTTCTTATCTGGAATTGAGGGCATTAAATGCATGTGATCTACAGACTCCATGACCATGCAGATACCACAGGCATGAGTACACATTCTCCAATCGTATCACATGCTGTTTTTTATTCTTGATTCTGTTCTCTGAACATTTTCATCATGACTTATTTTCCTGGACCCACCATTTCACAACGTCCTTCTGGTTTCTTTCCCTTCTCTCCTCTTCCCTTCGCATTCTGACCTTGGCACCTTCCCACCCTCAGCGGCGCCTCTCCTGATGTGCACACCCCGCTCCCTCTCCGGGCTGTTCCTGTTCACTCTTCCTCTCCATGCTCTCCTTCATCCTATCCACGCTCACATTCTTAGTGCTCATCCCCGTGTGTGAGCTCATCCTCTTCTCCTTTTTGCACTCCTGTTGCCTGTGATTCTGAGCCCAAGTCCTCTTTCACTATTTCACTAGACTCCCTTAAAGCCTGTCTCCCAGTCCTCTCTGTGTGTCCGGTTCTGCAGACTCTCTATCTGTGGTCCCACACCCGCCTTTGGCAGCAGGCTTGGAAGGCAGTGGGGACTTCAGGGCCACAAAGCCCTGGGAAATTAGGCAGAGCCACTGGACTTCCCTTCCTGATAGCTGAACCACTGTTCTGGGGACAGTTGGACCACCTTGGAGAGAGATGCCCTTTGTCCCTCCTGATCCCAGAAATTCCAAAAGCATAATTTCAGCATTGTTCTTCAGACACATTTATTTACTTACTATTGAAGTATAGTTGATTTGTAATGTTGTATTAGTTTCTGACATACAGTTTAGTGATTCAGTTGTACGTATATATATTTATACAAAGTGGAAAATTCATATTTTCCATTATATGTTTTTACAAGATATTGAATATAGTTCCCTCTGCTATACAGTAGGTTCTTGTTGTTTATCTGTTTTGTATATAGCAGTTTGCATCTGCTAGTCCAAAACTCCTAATTTATCCCTCCACCCCCTTTCCCATTTGGTAACCATAAGTTTGTTTCCTATGTATGAATCTATTTGTTCTGTAAATAAGTTCATTTGTATCATTTTCAATTCCCCATATAAGTGATATTATATATTTTTCTCTGTCTGCCTTACTTCACTTATCATGATAATCTCTATATCCATATTGCTGCAAATGGCATTATTTCATTCTTTTTTATGGCTGAGTAGTATTCCATTGTATATATACATCTTCTTTATCCAGTCATCTGTTGATGGACATTTGGGTTGTTTCCATGTTTTAGCTATTATAAATAGTGCTGCTGTGAACATTGGGGTGCATGTGTCTTTTTGAATTATAGAGTTTTCTCCAGATATAATGCCCAGGAGTGGGATTGCTAGATCATATGATAACTCAAGTTTTAGCTTTTTAAGGAATCTCCATACTGTTCTCCATAGTGGCTGCACCAAATTACATTCCTACCAACAGTGTAGGAAGGCTCCCTTTTCTCTACACCCTCTCTAGCATTTTATTGTTTGTGGACTTTTTATTGATGGCCATTCTGACCCATGTGAGGTGATAACCTCATTTAGTTTTGATTTGCAATTCTCTGATAATTAG